CCCCCCCCCCAACCTGTAATCTCTGTAGTTGTTAGGACAATACCTGAATTGCCCAGTAAATATTTCCATTGATTCCCTGGTTGTTTATTAGCTAAGGGCTCCAAGTAGCTTGGCACGTAAGCATCCAGGCTCCAAAACCAATCAGTTTAAATGTGTACCCGGCTCAGGAGTGACTAATCACCCCTACCCAGACTGTCCCCGCCAATGAATGTACTAATCCTGTCTCAGAGTTGTTGTTCAATTTTTCCGCGCCTCAAGATGATTTGTTCTGATGTATGCAAAGGCACCCTCCCCAAAAAGTGTTCTTAAGCTCTGCTTGACCTCAGCTCTGGGCTCTGGGCTGCTCTCTTTTCTTGAGTGGACACAGAGCCCCAGCAGCATGCTGGTTCAATAAAACTTCCCCCTGCTTATTGCATGAGGCTGGTCTCTTGTGGTCTGTTTCTCCGCCGGACCCTTACAAAATAAAACCTAAAATCTGATTTCTGAGGAATATCTAATGAAGCATGATGATATAATAAAGGCATGTGAGAATATATTTTAAGACATGCAAGGGCTGAAAAAGGTTGCCTCATATTTACCCTTTCATAGGATGCTGTTGGAGAATTAACTATAATCCAGGAAAATAGAACTCAACAGAGACAAATGTGAAAAAGAGATTTAGACTAGAGTTGGATAAAGGACCATAGGAGGGAATTCTCTGTATTAGTTTTCTCTGACTGCCATAACAAAGTAGCACAAACTAGGTAGCTTAAAACAACAGCTATTTATTCCCTCAGTCCTAGAAGCTAGAAGTTGAAATCAAAGTGTACATGGGGTGCACACCTGTAATTTCATTTGAGGCAGCTGAAGCAGGAGGGTCTCAAGTTTGAGGCCAGCCTCAGCAACTTAGAAAGACTCTGTCTTTCTAAGACAGGGATGTGGCTCAAGCGGTAGCGCGATCGCCTGGCATGTGTGCGGCCCGGGTTCAATCCTCAGCACCACATACAAACAAAGATGTTGTGTCCACTGAGAACTAAATAAATAAATATTAAAAATTAAAAAAAAAAGACTCTGTCTCAAAATAAAAAGGGCTAGGGATGTAACTTAGTGGTAAAGCACCCCTAGGTTCAATCCCCAGTACTAAAAAATTAAAGATTTAAAAAAAAAAAAAACAGACACCAGTCATAATTTCATCAAGGTTTAATTGACTCATGTAAACTGCACATGTTCAGAGCATCTGAATCTATGTGTGTATATGGTATTGGGGATTGAACTCAAGGCCTCATGCAAGAGCATACAATTAAGTTTGGACATATGTATGTACTCATGAAACCTTCATTACAATCAAGACAATGAACATACCCATCATGTGCAAGTTTCCTAGTATCCCTCCATAATCGCTCTCAACTGCTCCTCTTTGCCCTTTCCCAGCAACCTCTAATCCAATATAGTAATATTTTTCCCATTTCACACATGAGAAAACTGAAATACATGGTGGCTCACTAAACTGCCCAAAGTCATACAGCTTAGTCAGGGGTAGCACTTGGGTTTTAGTTCAAGTTGTAATATTGGCCCTAAAATCCCATCTTGGAAAAGTCTCTTGTCTTCAAAATGCACCATCAGCATATCCATCCCCTGGGCATACAGTATTTTCTTAAAGGCCTATGAAAATGTTTTGAGACCTATAGAAAAAGTTTCCAAAATATGGAAACCTACCAACCAACCAAACAAGCTGCTGAAATTAAAAACCATTCATTTGAATGATTACAAAACTTAATGTTATGCCAACAAGTCACCTTTAACTCATTTCTTTGGTATTCAGAGTTCTAGATTCAGGGGGCTCGGGCTGTAGCTCTTGAGCTCAAAGTGTATTTAGCACATACCAACCCTGGGTTCCACCCACAGCACTAAAAGAAAAAAATAACTAAGTTCTAAAGCCAGAGTGTTTAGGTTAGAATGCCATTTTGCCACTTATTATCTATTGACTGGGGACAAGTAACCTCAGCCCCAGGGTTACTACTCCTCTGTAAAGCAGGACAGTAATATTCACCTCACGGGGTAGGGAGAATTGAACACGTTAATATTTGTGAAGCATTTAAAACAATTCTCACACAGAATAAATGTTCAATAAATGTTAACTGTAAAAGCCAGGCATGATGAGACACACCTGAATCCCAGATTGTCCAGAGGCTGAGGCAGGAGGAGTCCAAGTTTGAGGTCAGCAATACAGCTCAGTGTTAGAGCACTTGCCTAGCATGCCAGAGGCGCTGGGTTTGGTCCTCAGCACCACAATCAATAATCAATCAACCCATAAAAATAACATCAAAATAAAAACTGATTGGCAGCGCACGCCTGTAATCCTAGCAGCTGAGAAGGCTGAGGCAGGAGGATCCTGAGTTCCAGGCCAGTCTCAGCAATTTAGGGAGGCCCTCAGCAACTTAGGGAGACCCGGTCCCAAAATAAAAATGGCTGGGGCTGTGGCTCAGTGGTTAAGCGCCCCTGGGTTCCATCCCCATTACAAAAAAAAAAAGGAGAGAGAGAGAAGAAGAAGAAGAAAGTAAAAGCTTTTCGGAGAGGGGGAACTCAGGAAGCCTGCTGGGTCCTTCTCGGAAAAACGCCTTCTTTTTCGGGCCAGCTTCCTGGCTGCGGGGCCAGGGAAACCAGCGGAACGCAGGTGTGCGAGGGCGGGGAGCTGGTCGAGCCTGGCCACCGAGGACTGTACGGCCGCGGGGGATCGGTTTGGCGGCGACACTGAACTGCTCGGAGGCCGCCGCAATGCTCCCGTCTTTGCAGGAATCGCTGGATGGGGATGAAAAGGAGCTAGAGAGCAGCGAGGAGGGCGGCTCTGCAGAGGAGCGGAAACTCGAGCCGCCGCCCAGCAGCCACTACTGTCTCTACAGCTACCGCGGAAGCAGGTGCCGGCGCCTGGCCTGGCCTGCCCGGCCGCCCCTGCGGTCCCCCTAATCCCCGGGCCCGCTGCCCGGCTTTACACCCTTTCCCGGCCCTGGCGGCCTGGCGGTTCCCAAACGCCATCTTCTCCTCTCCCAGCCACGGCCTCAGCTCTCACTCCGTTCTTCCTGGCTACTAGCCTGGACTTCTCTGCCAGGCCTTCCCTAGCTCCTGCTCTCCTACTGACCCTATGTCATCTCAGCCCGGCTTCTCGCCCCGGCCGTTTATTTAGGACAGTTCCTGCATGCTCAGTAATTTCAATCCCCATCCCCTGTCCTCTGGTCACTATCTCCCCAATTTCCCCCGTTTTTTGTCACACCCCCACCCCGTTTTCTTTGTCCTTGCTGCATCTTTTCTGTCCTCCTGGCTGATGTTCCAGGGGCTCTCTTGGCCCTGCTAATTCTGGTGGTGGTTGTTTTAAAGAGGCGCTTCTTTAATCTATTAGGCCTCTCCTCCACCCCTAAGGTAGCCTGGCAAGAGAAAGGCGCTTGTCAGCCCTGTTATGGGTTTTCCCTGTCTTGCAGCAAAGCAATAGAGGACCCATGCACTTTAACCTTGCAGTTTTTTACATGACTCCTTGCACTACCCTGCTTGCAAGGACTCCATCTGATTTGGAGCCCATAATTGATAGCAAAATTGTTGCTTTTTTGGCTTGCAGATTGGCACAGCAACGTGGGGACAGTGATGATGGAAGCCCAAGTGGCACAAATTTGGAAACTCCCTCTGGTGATGATTTCAGGTAAAACCAACTTACCCACACCCCCTAATGTGTTTTATCTTCTGTGCATCTCTGGCCTGTAGATGTCAGTAGGTACACTATTTCCACTGAACTTCCTAAGAGTCAAACCATCAATTCTTCCTATTCCTTAGGAACCTCTCTCTCATTGGGGCATTCACTAGAGGCTGGGGCAAATCCAAATACTGATAGTACCTCTGTGATTAACCAAAAAGAATTATTCTGTTCTTTGGTTAGAACTCCAGTAAAATTTTCAATATCAGATTGATATCAAGATTTGAATTTAAGGAGCTGTAGTTGCAGCTCAGTGGTAGAGCACTTGCCTAGTATGTGTGAGGCACTGGGTTCCATCCTAGGCATCACATAAAAATAAATAAATAAAATAAAGGTATTAAAAATACTATAACATATTAGGAAATATGTTATATTTTATATAAAATATATAAAAGAAAAATTTTAAAAGATTTGAATTTAAACCCTCTCCTCCTCCCCCCTTTGAATATTCTTTTTTTTTTAAATATTTTTTTACTTGTCAGTGTACCTTTATTTTATTTATTTATTTGTGGTGCTGTGAATTGAACCCAGTGCCTCATACACACCTCACAAGTACTCTACCACTGAGCCACAACCCCATCCCTGGATATTCTTTAGTAGCTCCTCTACCATACACTAGAATGGAAATTCCAGGACATTAGGGATTATCTCATTTTTGTCTCCCTGTCTTGTCCCTTTAGTAGTACCTGGCACAGGGTAGATGTTTAATACATTGTTATTAAGTGCATGAATGAATGCACCTTTTTAAATAAAGCACATGTAAAATTAAAGATTTATTAATAAATTTTATATCTGTAAATGTATGAGAAACTATGGTGTAATAGTCATAATCATATTTAACCATTTTCCTTTTTTTAAAATATATTTATTTATTTTACAGTAGAATATTTTTTGTTGTTGTTGTTGTTGTTTTTGTCATTTTTGATACTGGGGATTGAACTCAGGGGTACTCAAAACTTAAAAAAACTGCTTAAAACTTAAAACTGCTGAGCCACCTCTCCAGCTCAATTTTGTATTTTATTTAGACACAGGGCATCACTGAGTTGCTTAATGCCTCACTTTTGCTGAGGCTGGCTTTGAACTCGTGATTTACCTGTCTCAGCCTCACAAGCTGCTGGGATTACAGGTGTGTACCACTGCACCCAGTAGTAGAATATATTTTGACATGTTGTACGTGAATGAATTCACATTGACAATGCAAAATTAGATGCAGTACAAAAATAAAGTCCAGGGGCTGGCATGTACTTGGTGGTAGAGCACTTGCCTAGCACTCATGAGGCCCTGGGTTTGCTCCCCTACACCACAAACAAAACAAAGCAAAACAATCTTCATCTTTTAGGGCTGGGGTTGTGGCTCAGTGGTAGAGTGCTTGCCTCACATTGAGGCACTGAGTTCGATCCTCAGTACCACATAAATGTAAAACAAAGATATTGTGTCCACTTAAAACTAAAAAATAAATGTTTAAAAAAATCTTCATCTTTTAGAAATACATAGTGAGAAATTAATGCATGAAATAATTTCTGGGACATTGCTGCAAAATTTTCTGGGATGGGGGGAATAATATGTGTGTAAAGATGAAATAAGATGACCATGAGCTGATAACTGTTGAAACTGGATCATGGGAACATGAGAACTTACTGTTCTCTCTACTTTTTTTTTTAAGTTTTTTTTAAAAAATATTTATTTATTTTTTAGAAGTATTTGGACACAATACCTTTATTTTGTTTATTTATTTTTATGTGGTGCTGAGGTTCGAACCCAGGGCCTCACACATGCCAGACCATCGCTCATTGAAGGAGAATGTGCACAGTACTCAATTTTTAAAATACTTTTTTAGTTGTAGATGGACACAATACCTTGATTTCATTTATTTATTTTTATGTGGTGCTGAGGATTGAACCCAGTGCCTTACAAGTGCTAGGCAAGCGCTCTACCATTGAGCTACAAACCCAGCCTAGTACTCAATTTTTATATATCAATTATACCTCAGTAATGTTGAAAGGAAGAAAAAGAAGAATGTGTGCAGGGATGTGATTATAATGACTGACCAGCAAACATAAGCTAATTAAGGAGAAAGAAAGTGAGGAGAGGAGAAACTTGAGGGACTGTCAAAAGAGAATCAGTGGTATGAGATAGAGCGCTTGCCTTACATATGTGAGGCGCTGAGTTCAATCCTCAGCACCACATAAAAATAAAGATTAAAAAAATGAAAATGCGTAAATCCTTCAAAAAATAAAAAGAGAATCAGTGGGCTCAAGATTCCAGTGGAAGCCAGGTCCAGTTGTGCATGCCTGTAATCCCAGCGGCTCAGGAGGCTGAGGCAGGAAGATCACAAATTGAAAGCCAGCCTCAGCAACAGCGAGGCCCTAAGCAACTCAATGAGACCCTGTCTCTAAATAAAATACAAAATAGGGCTGGGGATGTAGCTCAGTGTTTGAGTGCCCCTGAGATCTATCTGGTGACCCCTCCCCTCAAAAAACAGATTCCAGTGGAGTGTCAGGAGTGGTGGCACACACCTGTAATTCCAGTTACTCAGGAGGCTGAGACAGGAGGATCACAAGTTCCAGGCCAGCCTCAACAACTTAGTGAGACCCTTTCTCAAAGTAAAAAAAATTAAAAAGGGCTAGAGATGTATAGTCCAGTGGCAAGTGCCCCTAGTTAAGTCCCTAGTACCAAAGGAAAAAAAAAAAAAGATTCCAGCAGAGAGCCAGTACTGCAGAATTGAATGAGCTGGAGAGAGTAATATTTTAAACTGTTTGATAATAAGTCACACTTGGTGACATACATTCCTAGAGGTCTCATTGTTGTTGTTCAGCTTTCAATCACTGACAAAATAGCTGAAAAAATCAACTGAAGGAGGAAAGATTCATTTTGGCTCATGATCTCAGAGGTTTCAGCCCATTGCCTTTGAGTCTCTGGCACTACATCATGGCAGGAGCACATGGTAGAGAGGCCTGTTCACCTAGTGGCTGCTAGGAAGCAAGAGGCGAGAGGGGAGGAGGCCAGGATCCTAATAACCCCATCATGGGCATGCCCCCAGGGAATAACCCCAATAACCTAATTTTTCTCCAACAAAGCCCCACCTCTTAAAGGTTCCACTATCTTCCATTAGCACCAAACTGTTAGCATATGGGCCTTTGGGGCACATTCTAAATCCAGACTATAGCAGTAGCCAGTGGATTAGGTAGGTAGCCTTCTTAGGTCCTTAAGGGAGATCCTGGCTTTGGTATCATACTTTCTGACTCACAAGTGTGAATGCCCTACTCCCCTGGTAAGGAATGTGTGTCTTTCATTTGTTAAGCCTCTCCTTGGTGGATACTAATTTACCATCTGAAGTGGAGCCAGAGCTGCGGAGTTTCATTGCTAAGCGTCTTTCGAAAGGAGCCATCTTTGAAGGGCTGGGTAATGTTGCATCTGTAGAGCTGAGGTAAGTATAAAATGTGCTGTGTCCTGAGTTTTTGTTTCCGAGCTAAATATGAGAAGTAATGAGAAACTCTAAAATTTCTCCTACTAGAACTGCCCGGTGTATTGTTGTTTTCCGAGAGCCCACGTGCTGGGATTCACACGTAAACATTTATGGAATGGAGTTAATTGAACGTGGAGACACTGGCACCTACATGTACTTTTTGTAGTTTTGTACTTAGAAGAGTTAATTACTAAAACCAAAATTGTGTATTTTACAGTTATAAAGTGTTTTCCCAAACTTTGGAACAATTCTTACAAAGAGGAGATGTAGCACTACTTTTTTTTTTTTTTTTTAAGAGAGAGAGAGAGAGAAAGAGAGAGAGAATTTTTATTTATTTATTTATTTTTAAAGAAAGAGAATTTTAATATTTATTTTTTAATTTTCGGCGACACAACATCTTTCTTTGTATGTGGTGCTGAGGATTAAACCCAGGCCGCACGCATGCCAGGTGAGCACGCTACCGCTTGAGCCACATCCCCAGCCCAATATAGCACTACTTTTGTTTGCATTTTCAAATGAGAAAATAAACTCAGAGAAGTTAAATGGGATGCCTGAGGTTACAGGACTGGTTACCTTGATGGAGTTCACGTTTAAACATAGGCATTCTCAGTCCAGTTCTAGTTGTCTTTCCATTACACTTCTTGATTACGGTTCGCTTTAGATCATGAAGTTGACACACAAGAGTTTGAAGCCATGGCCCAAGCATGAGGCTATGGGATAAAGCTGGAACCTGTGCCTGGAGCTTAGTGATTTGTGAAGGTTTGAGGAAGAAGAGGAATGTGCTTATTTTCTTTTTTTTTTTAAATTCTTTTTTAGACATACATGACTGTAAAGTGTATTTTGACATATTATACATACTTGGAGTATCACTTCCCATTCTTGTGGTTGTACATGATGTGGAATTACACTGGTATTCATATATGAACACAGGAAAGTTATGTCCAATTCATTTTACAGTCTTTCCTATTCCTGTCCCCCTCCCTTTCCTTCATTCCCCTTGGTCTAATCCAAAGTACTTCTATTCTTCCCTTGTCCCCTTGCCCCCATTGTGTGTTAGAATCCACATATCAGAGAGTACATTCAGCCTTTCGTTTTTTGAGATTGGCTTATTTCTCTTAGCACAATAGTCTCCAGTTCCATCCATTTACCAGCAAATGCCATAATTTCAAGGAATATGTTTATATTCATGTAAATATGTGTATACCTTGAACAAGAGTGAAATTTGCACACAGCCCAGGAGAATTCAAAGAAAAGTTTGTCTGTGTTAGGGACTGCTTTCACCAAAGCCCATCTGGGGTGTACAATCATGTTCCCTCTGCTGTTAAGAGTAAACTGACAAGTCTGGGAAGCCCTGAAGAAGTGGGCAGTCTAAAGGTGTTGATAGATGAAGCTGCAGAGCAGGGCTGGGGTTGTTGCTCAGCAGTAGAGCGCTTGCCTAGCACATGCGAGGCACTGGGTTTGATCCTCAGCACCACATAAAAATAAATAAAGATATTGTGTCCAATTACAACTAAAAAAAACTATTAAAAATAAATAAATAAAGATGCAGCCCAGTCCACAGAATAAGATGCCTGAGTTATCAAAATATTACATTTTACTCTTTTCTTTTTCAGAATTCCAGGTTATCGAGTTGGTTGTTATTATTGTCTTTTCCAACAAGGAAAACTGCTTCCTGAAACAGCAACAGTGGGCTCTGAATATAACCCTACAGAGTATGTGGTCTGTTTTTTAGGAGGTTCTGAAAAAGGCCTTGAGCTATATCCTTTCTTTGGTCTAAGGGAATCAGGAAGGAGAATGTGGGAGGCAAGTGAAGGAGTTATCTACTACCCCCCCCCAAGCTTCTCTGCCTTTATGTATGTGCTTGAATTTCATACTTCCTGTGGCCATTTGCCTTGGCTTGTTCTAATTTACAGTTTACGTTATTTGAGCAATCTCACATTTCCTGTGTGAGATAAGACATTGTCTTGATTATTCATTCTTTATTACTTCCTTAAGAACATACTTTCAGGCTTGAACTGGACAAGTACATTCAAGGGCTAAAAAATAACATGAACTGTGAGGTAAGATGATAGATTTAAAAATTTTGTAAGACTGAAATGATTAACCAACCATGGCTTTTGTACTTGTCAAGTCATATAGGAAGATAGAAAGACACCTGAATTCTAAAAACTTGACCTTGTAGGCTAGTAGACTGGTGATTTTTAAGGAAAGGAGGGAACATAGTCCTATAATTGTTGAAAGTTTCATAAGACTGCTTGCGATGAATTACTCCTATGAAGATTTCTACCTGTTAAATTCAACAGCATGTCTGGAGAGGAAGAGGATACCCCTTTACTGATTTCTAAGCACATAAGATTTATATTCTAGTCAGAACTAATTGTCCGTGCAGCCTCTGGCACCAGAGACATGCTGCACAATAGTATAGCTGTCCTTGGACTTAACATCAAAGATTTTTAGAAATACTGCATTTTTATTCATCAATCCTTTATGAATTAGATATCTCCAAATTGACTAATTTATCCAAACCTTTTTAGAAGCTATGTTTCAACTTGCAGCAGTTGTTGAAGTTAGGACTCAAAAATTTATCACCCATTATCCATAGCAATAGTTCCTTTTACTTGTCATGTACTTCTATGATACTGCAAGAGGAAAGGAAGGATCCGTTTAGGGGTGAGCCAGGGATTCAAGTCTGGGGATGTTGCTTTCCCAGACTGAAGCTTCTTCCTATGTGACACTAGTCTTCAGAAAGCAGCACAGCCGAAAGCCAGATGTGTTCATGGTGGCATGTCTGACACAACAAGTGGGCTTTGAGTGTTTTGATGGGTTGTTGTTTCTTAACTTTGTCCTTTTTTTTTTTTTGATACTAAGGATTGAACCCAGGGCTGCTTAACCACTGAGCCACATCCCAAGCCCTTTTTTTATATTTTATTAGAGACAGTGTCTCACTTAGTTGCTAAGGCTGCTTTGAGCTCACCATTCTCCCATCTCAGCCTCCAAGCTACAGGCGTGCACCACCACACCTGGCTTCTTTTTCTTAACTTTTTGAGTACAACCAAATTATCTATTTACATTCCTTTAGTCAGTAGTCAATAAGTCTTGCTATGCATGTTCCAGACACTATGCCAGGTGCTGGGGCAATGAGGATTATTAAGAAAAAACTTCCAGTGTAGTAGGAAGGGATAGCCATGTGAATGCCCAACTCTTCCCAGTGAGTAATAGCATAGAACTCTACTAATTCAAATTCCCAGGAAAGCTATATCACAATTCCTTTTTTTAAACTGGTGGTATTAGCTTTAAAAAAAAAAAGGAGGTGTCTGTTCCAGTTTTCACTGTCGAAAGAGTACAGTGAAGAAAATGTTTTGAGTCCACTAACAGGAAGGCTTATGCGGTATTAAAGCAAATAATTTCTCTCTTGATCTAGGAAGGGGGCCTGGAAAACCATACCAAGGCTTATCTGAACAGCTGGTTTGAGGATGTTGTTTGCCCAATCCAAAGGGTTGTTCTTCTTTTTCAGGAGAAACTTACTTTTCTGCTACATGCGGTATGTATTGCCCAAACAAGAGCATTTCCTTAATCAAGAATCACTTTGGCAGAGTTTTTAATTTTTTGAGATATGGGGAGTGAATCCAGGGCCTTATGCTTGCCAGGCAAGTGCTGCACCACTGAGCTACAACCCCAACGCTGCTTTTTTTGTTTTTGTTTTTAAGATAGGGTCTCTAAATTGTCCAGGCCAGCCTTGAAGTTGCAATTCTCTTGCCTCAGACTCCCAAGTATCTAATATTACAAGTGTGCACCATCCTGGTTAGAGTTTGGGTTATCTGGAGACAAATCACTTTCTGTGAATATTTCTTTTTCCCCTGAATATTCATTTAAACTATGCTTGCTGTCAGGGTAGAGCACACTTAATTTATTCAGATCTAGAAGATTATATTACAAAGGTAAAATTGAATTGCAAATGCCTACTGAGTCTTCCTAATAGGATAAAACATTTTTAAATAATTACTTTTTGAACTGATCTAAGAGAGGTAATTTCCAAAACATTTTGAAAAGGAAAACAAAATTCTAAAGTGATTTTAACTATACAAAAATATTAGCAAGGAGCTGCTAAACCAGCTGCTAAACCATCTCTCTCTGGAGAGCTTGTGGGCTATGCCCATCAGTCATTGTCTAGTAAGGTGGTTACTGGGAATGGTAACATTTGGTCATGAGTGGCTGCTCAATAAGGGAAACTGGAAGACATATCAATCAGGCTTTATTTTTCTCTCATAGGCTTTGAGTTATACTCCTGTTGAGGTTAAAGAATCAGATGAAAAAACAAAGAGAGACATTAACAGGTAAAGAACATAGTTTTTGCAAAGAGAGAATCTTTTCCACAGCAAACCTGACTTATACATTTTTTTTTTAAGAGAGAGTGAGAGGAGAGAGAGAGAGAGAGAGAGAGAGAGAGAGAGAGAGAGAGAGAGAGAGAATTTTTAATGTTTATTTTTTAGTTCTCGGCGGACACAACATCTTTGTTGGTATGTGGTGCTGAGGATCGAACCCGGGCCGCACGCACTACCGCTTGAGCCACATCCCCAGCCCCCTGACTTATACATTTTTAAACCCTCCCCCTTCCAGTGCAGAATGATTTAGTTTTCTCCCTCCCATAGTCCAATACTGTTTGTGAAAAAAGTCTGTGTGTTTGGCAGGTTTCTGAGTGTGGCCAGTCTTCAGGGACTAATTCATGAAGGCACCATGACATCTTTGTGCATGGCCATGACAGAAGAGCAGCATAAGTCTGTAGTCATCGATTGCAGTGGCTCCCAGCCTCAGTTCTCCAATGCAGGTGAGCCATAAACTCTGGACCTCTTGTGAGGTCCTCTTTTTGCATTGAGAATAAAGGATACAAACATCCTTCTTGCCTTGTACAATTTTTCATGGCTATCCCAAGCTTGCTGAAAACAATAGTAATTCTAGAAACATGGAAATTAAGTCATGCCTAGAAATTCCATTCTTAGATATACAGAGAAACTCATATATGTGCACAAGAAGATGAATACAAAAATATTCATGAAAACATTATTTAAAATTATAAAAAATTGGAAATCAACATGTACAGCAAGAATTTGATACACTGGTATTGTATGCTATGGGACATTATAGAGCAGTTGAAAATGAATGCACCAGAGATGACATATGTTAGTATAGCTCTCAAACATATTATTCAGTGAAAAACCATTAAAAAAATACATAAAGGACTGGGCATGTTGGCACATTCCTGTAATCCCAGCAACTCATGAGGCTGAGGCAGGAGGATCATAAATTCAAGACCGGCCTTAGCAAATTAGAGTGGGCTTAAGCAACTTAGAGAGACCGTGTTTCAAAAAATAAAAAGGGCTGGGGATGTGACTCAGTAGTCAAATGCCCATGGGTTCAGGTTCAATCCCTGGTACCCCCCCCAAAAAAATAAAGGTTTTAACATGCAAAACAATAACTTGGAGATACAAAGGGATATAGCAAAAGTTTTAGAGAAATATATGGGAATCATAATCCTTTCTGATGGGAAAGAAGGGGATATGATTGAGACACACTTGAAGGTGGGGGTGCTTTAGCCCTCTTCATATTTCTTAGCCATATGGGGAGCACACTATTTTTTAGATCACTATAAAAGTCATTACAAATAAATATGATAATAAATTTAATATTTGAAAAGTTCAGTATAAATGTTGTTATAAAGAAATAACTGGGGCTGGGGATGTGGCTCAAGCGGTAGCGCGCTCGCCTAGCATGCGTGCGGCCCGGGTTCGATCCTCAGCAGCACCACATACCAACAAAGATGTTGTGTCCGCCGAGAACTAAGAAAAAAATAAATAAATGTTAAAA